CATGTTTTTAATAATGTATCATCTGTATTTTTATTAACAGATATGCAGTCGTTAACTACAGCACTAGCTATGTTGGGAAAACTGTTTACCACTGCTGCCTTCGCAACGATCTGTGTTATATTGGCTGAGTTGTTTCCGACAGCTATACGCAATGCGGGAATGGGATCAAGTTCATTGTGGGCTCGTGTTGGCGGAATGATTTCACCTTTCATAGCAGACATAGTATGTAAAACCTTTTGAAATTTAAATAAATATAATTGTTAGAAGTAACTAAAAATAGTTTCATCTTCAAATGATAATTTGATTAATCATTATGTTGGATAATTTATATCTCATCATGTGTAGTAGATGGGCTCTTAACTTTTAGCATATGCATTTATTTGGAAACATGTTATAATTTTTTTATTGTGTAGCTTTGTTTTTCTTTTTGTTTTGATCTATTTTGTAATTACATGTTAAACAGGTCTGTCCATATTTGAAGAAATGGACGTAATATTGTTCGAAACAGTATAGCAGTTGCGTAGTGTAATCTTAGAAAGATGTGAACTTATCTTTTATTACTTTTGATTTAAGTTTTGTAGGCAGATTTAATTGTAGGAACATCAGGAAAAGCAATCCCATTGGTTATTTTTGGTGCCGCTTCTTAAGTAGCGGCGGGTTTAACGCTAACTCTGCCGGAAACCTTAAACAGACAATAACCAGAAACAATAGAGGATGGAAAAAATTTTACAAAGTAAGTACAAGTATTATTTTGTTTACCTTTAAACAGGTAATGACAATTAGCAAATACTATTTGTTTAGTTGTTGAACGTAACCGTTGACTTAGGTAAAGAAACATAATCACCTGGACTTTCCACATTCAAAAGTAAAACCGATGCGGAAGGAGGGCACTAGTAACCTTAAAATTACTGAAAAAAGGATATGTTGGAAAGGGAAGACAATATGCCTTGCAACATGCCAAACATTGATTTCAATTGTTTTTGCCCGCGTAGAAAACGTGGTACTCTCCCTACAAGAGACGTTTGATTCAAAATCCAAATTCAGGCCGGACGTGGCTTTGATTTTTCATAAACTTAGCCGACTGAATTGGACATACTATCCATTGTTTATTTTGTAGCTAATGTGGTAAAACTAACTTGTATGCGCTAATAGTTATTAATAATGTTTAATGTATATATAATGATATACATAGAATATTGTGAAAAAGATTTGAAAAAAACTGATCGGCTACTCTTTGTTTGCTCTGCTCTTTAATAAATAGAACAAACTCTGTTATTCGCAGTATAACTGCGAGTTTTTCTCTTTGGGGTTCATTCGATTCGGTTTTTTTAACCTTGATCTGTATCTTCTTAATTGATTTATAAGATTAGTAAACTACTGTTGCCTCTAATTCATCATCCCCATATACCAATTTTTATTTCAGAAAAGCATATAAAGAGAAAGAAAAGGCACACGAACTTATTATAAAGGAACCACAAATTGCAATGATAACGAAGTTATAATAATTGATCAAAAGATATTTTAACTGTTTCAAATGTGAATGGAAAACATCTCAAAAATATCATACAATGAATTGCATCAGATACTAGTATTAATTTATCGAATGGATTATTGATTTTTTTCAAAGTTGAACTATCATAGTGTGCTAGTATTCGTGACGACTTAGGGACTGCATTATGATAACACAGAAATGGCAGTTCCTTGATATTCTATATGAAATAAAACACAATTATCCAATGGTGACCTTTGGTTATCTTTTACTACCAACTATCACCACTCGTAAAAAGCAGAAAAAGAGGAAATATTGGCTCTATAATAAATCAATATCAAAGGCAGGAAGAACTATGTTTTGTCTAATTGTGTTATCTTATTCATGTAATAGTACCCGTTTAACGCCATTTTTTGGCATCCTTTGTCGGTCGATTTGTTCACGTTCTACTCTGAACCTCCTGAACAATGGTGGACCAGAATATGTGTATATAAAGTCCTTCTCCATGAAAAAAGAAGTTTCGTCCCGATTGATAAAAATAAGAGCCAATTGTAGACATAAACATTGTTGACCTGTGAAATTACTAGACCCAAGTCTATTTTGCCCAATCTTGTCTGTTCGTCGTTTTTCTCTACCTTTGGTTTTTGAATGCCTTTTAATTGTGTGCGTGTATCTCTCTCTCTCTACCCGGTAAGAATATTTTCCTTTAAAACATATCCGTATCTGAAAAATCAGTTGGAAGACCTTTTTCATACTCATTTTCTCCTCAAAGGGTGTCAATATATTGGCAGCAATGAAAAGTAGAATAACAAAAATACCGAACTCCAAGGAAAATTCAAAACGAAAAGTCCCTTATCAAATGGCAAAATCAACAGTTCAAACTTATCAAACGAAAGGAAAACAACTGTCATATTCCTGACTTGGTTCAGGCATTTCCTTATGTAGGAAATGGTGAATAAAACCTGGTTTTATAGCTAGTAAAACCTCTCACTTGTATGACAGTCGCATAAAATTCCATTATATTGACAACAATGTGTGAACAAACCAAACAGATATAATAGGTAAAAATGTCAAAAATAAGGGTACAGCAGTCGACATTGCGACAAAGAAAAACAAAATGGCATATAGACAAAGCACATAAGCAAAAATAAAAGACAAGAATACAAAAAATGGCCATAGCACAATAACACAATGGCGGGATGTACAAGTACCGAGCCACGTTAAAAGGATATTACCAAAAATGGACTAAACAGTAAAGGTTAATAATTTACAAAGACAAATAAAAGAACACTAATAACATGTAATTAAGATGATAAACAACGACAGTACCTAGAATCTATACTTCATTCCATCATGTATTTGTGAAGTTGATACGGAACATTTATCAACAAGGTATTTGTATCTTACGATTTTAGAAAAAGGACGAGACGTTCTTTGACATAACCCTGGTTCATCAACTTTCTGATTAGACAGTGGTGACTGGCAGCGTTCCTTTTGCGCCAATTGTTATTTTTGTGATGTATCATTTGTGCCAAATGTTATTTTTCAAAGGTATCAATTGTAACAACAAACGGAATTCATTTGTGCCAATTGACCTGTACGCATATTTATTTTACATAATAATCATGAATGAAATTGGTTACATTTAAGAGTATTCATAATTAATGGAATAAATAGGACTATTGTTGCTTAAAAAATCTAATGAAAGATGAGTTTACCATTGAATAGAAGATTAATAAATCATTTGCACCAACTAAACATATGTACATATAATACGCTGAACACTAATTATGAAAATTAATTACCGGAGGGAAAATAAACTTCATCAAAGAATTAAGTATGCATATGAAGAAGCACTCATGACCGGTACAGAAATCTGGTTTTCTGCTGAATGATCATCGATGCATTGTAACATCGCAGTACCACACGCTCATTTATTTTGCATTGAATGTATACTTTTTCAATTTGCCATAATGTCCTTTGCTACTCCGGCTAGTCTGTAACTCTTTATATCGGATGCTTGTTACAGTAGAGTCTAAGACTTTCAATTTAAATGAATATGAAATCGGACCATCAATTGTTGATTTTTTTTTTTGCGGGTCGATTTGTATTTTGCAATATCCACAGTTGGTCTCTGATTGTTATATTATAAAACACAACGTAAAAGGACAATTCATAACATAGTTTTGAATATTAAAAAAGTCCGCCATCACATACCAAGCTTCTTTGGAAATTAACTTTAATTTTGGTTATATATCTTTCTTTATGTAGAAAATTAAAAACATACAATCTGTGTATGTGCATCTTATCTATTTAACTGAACGCTAATACAAATTTCCAAATACTGAATTTCTCTTTTCTCGATAGAAATTTTCTGTCTACCTCTCTATTCTTTATTTTGCTTTTACGTATCGAAGCTAAGTCTCTTTTTTAAAACTTGTATGAAAATAACTGTCTACCCTGACAGGCCGGAATTGCACTCTTGGTAAACAATGTAACTACGTCTTGTGTCGATTTAGACTTATGAGTGTGCATGAGCAAATTGCTGTCTTTGCGTTCGACGTACCAAATTATAAGTCTGATTTCTGTGATGATTTTTTTTATTTTATTATACACGAAGGATTCTCTATACGGACCACGATATGTATAGATTATCGGTTTTTCTACGTATTGATATCGGCCGCGAGCCACAATGTGAATCGAGTGAGCGCAGCAAAAGAGCTAACAGCTTCAAATTGTGTTGAGCGGCTGATATTTTACGATATATATACGTAGAAATCCGATAGTCTGCTTATCGTTTTATTGCTGCTGTTTATTTCCTCCAATAGACAGTTTTACACTTGACGAAAGTAGATTTGATAATGTCTCTTCACACATTGTGACGTGGATGATAACTTCTTATAAGTAATTGTGACGTCGCTGATAATGTCTTCTCACATCTTAAAGTTGTGATATGAGACTTACGGAGTGACTAAGCAGGGTGATATAGGCAAAGAGAGACATGATAATGTATTGATACCGTTTACGATTTGATGAGAGTCTATTATGGCAAGGCTTTATTTTGCATCCTTTCATGGAGCATCACGACATAAGACATTAGTAAAACGCAATTTGGGGACCCTTTTGAAGCTAATGTGATCATCACCGCCCCCTTTTTGATGGGTTTCGTGTTGCTCTGTGTATAGTTTTCTGTGTAGTAGTTTGATGACTGTTGCGAGTCATTTCGTCTTCGTCTTAACCTTTTAGTCATTGTGCCTTCTTCATGTTTTTTTTTCTTCGACTTAAGATTTTTATTTGTTTTTTTTTTTATCTTCTGCTTATATCTTAATTATTTTTCTATCATCTGGAAAGCGCATTTAATTAAAGCGATATTTGGTGCATTTAGGCTTGGAGCAGAGATATTTGTGTTATAGTTTTATATTTGATACATCTTAAATTGCTTCCTTGCTAGACAAGCTAACTGCATTTAGGATTGAAAAGGTAACAATATCAGAAAAGAATTGAGAGCATATTTTGAATCAAAATTGTATTATTTCATTTTGGTTTCAATCCAAAATACGGCATGGCCAGTTCAACTGATTGTAAGGCTCCATTTGACCATAAGGACAAAGAACGAGAATTGAAAGCATTTGAAACCACAAAGACATCATCATTGGTTGACGGTTTTGTCATTTGCCTTTCAACAGTCGGCCATACGTATCCCGGCATCCATGTTTGCCAAGCACCACCGAATGGATAATTTTTCCATAGATATGCAGCTGCGTGTGTAGGTATGTTTTTGACTGGTAATTTATAGATAGATGCCAAATACTTGTTTATAACTTGTACAAATTCTTTTCCCATTAAGATGAAGTCACCAATAGTTTCATTTAGATATCCTCTGTCAAATAATTCTTCCCAGTAAGGTACATCACTATCCATGTACATAGCCTGTAGTACAGACTTGGGTGGATTAAGTTTGGAAGTACCAAAGTCGTACGTTTGTCTTAACGGAGTGTCTGAAATTATATAGTTAGAATAAACAGGAGATCTCCTCCACCAGGGAGAATCATAACTGAAATAAAGCTTTGATGCAGGAATATCTTTTACTGCTTTGGTAATATATTCTCTAATACGAGGTTGGTAAAGACCCTGCCAATCCAGTTTTTCAAGTGACAATCTATTGGTTGCAAGTATGACTTTTTTAGCACACGTCGTCTTTAAAGTTGCAGGCTAAAATAGAAATATACATTACTATTTTGCATGGACATTACAAAAACTCTTTTAAACGTACTGTGTGATATATCATGTGACAAATTATAGCACCTCTTTAATAGCCGTTGTTCGGTATAATATGTCGGTTGTGTTGATATCTTTTGGAGTATTTTGGTCCCAAAACACATGATTCAAACACTATATAAAAATAAAAAGGAGAATGGAACGTTGAATGTGTCAAAGAGACAACCACCCGACTAAACAGCAGAAAACAGCCCAAGGCCACCAATGGGTCTTCAACATAGCGAGAAAATCCCTCACCCGGAGTCGGCCTTCAGCTGGCCCCTAAACAAAAATGTGTACTAGTTCATAGTAAATGGAATGGACGTCACACTAAACTCCGAAACATATATATGAACCGAAATTAAAAACACATACAAGACTAACAATGGCCAGAGGTTCCTGACAAAAATGCGGCTGTGTAAAACATGTTGCGTTGAGGCTTTGGCTAACTCGGCTGTGTATTTTTATATGTTGGATTAAGTTGTATTATGTAATGTATCCGTTTTTATTCTGTAGTTAGTCCCCACTTCGGTTTTATCATGTATATCTATTATATAGTCATTTTATAAAATTTACTGTTTGCAAAATTATAAATTATTCTAAATAATAAGGATGTTCTTGTCCCAGGCAGAAAACCCTGGCCGTGTTAGGCGCAACTTTTTGGAAGTTTTGGTCCTCGGTGCTCTTCAGCTTTGTACTTGTTTTGGCTTTTAAACTTTTTTCATCTGAGCGTCACTGGTTGGTCTTTCGTGGACGAGACGCACGTCTGGCGTATTGAATTTTAAGCCTAGTACCTTTTGTTAGCTATTGTTCGTGTTTTTCTTTGTCCTATATGTTCTCCCATTTATTTGTCATGTTCTCCCATTATGTGTTATCATAATGAAGTTAAATCCAGAAACGCGCTTCGAACGCACCGCACGAAATTAATATAAATTGTTCATATACAGTTGTTATATTATTTTTCTACCCCAGGAAAAAATTGCCTTAACTATATATGGCAAAACCTTTCGGCATTTTTGGTCCTCAATGCTCTTCAAATTCGTACTTTATTTGGCCTATTTAACTTGTTTGATTCGAGCGTCACTGGTGAGTGTTTTGAAGACGACACGCGCGTCTGGCGTACAAAATGTGAATCCTAGTATCTACGACGAGTTTTTTGTGTACACTTTACTAAGAATACAGAAAAATCCGATTCATCATTATCTTTTTATTGATTAATTGATTGATTAAAGGGTGCCTTACGATTTATTTATTAATTGATTGATTAAAGGTTACCTTACAATTTATTGATTAATTGATTGATTAAAGGGTGCCTTACGATTTATTGATTAATTGTTTGATTAAAGGATGCCTTACGATTTATTGATTAATTAATTGATTAAAGGGTGCCTTACGATTTATAGAACTCTTGGGTTGCAGTCCAAAACTGTATCAATGATGAGTTAAGCCTTTTTCAACTGATTTTTATAGTTTGTTCTTATGTTGTGCTGTTACACCACTGTCCCAGGTATGGGGAGGGTTGAGCGCTCACAAACATGTTTAACCCCGCCACATTCTTTATATGCCTGTCCAAGGTCAGGAGCCTGCATTTCAGTGGTTGCCGTTAATTCATGTCTGTCATATTAGTTTTTCGTTAATTGTTTTTGTTATAAATAAGGCCGTTAGTTTTCTTAATTGAATTGTTTCATATTTCTCATGTCGGGGTCCTTTTATAGCCGACTACACGGTATGGGATTTTCTCATTGACGAAGGCCGTACGGTTGCCTATAATTTCTTTCATCTACTTTATTCGAACTTTGTTGAACAGTTGTCTTATTGGCAGTCATACCTCATCTCCTTATTTTTATATCCAGGAAATGTTACATGACGATAACATATTAATGCCATATGAATACACTGTGTTTTGTATTAAACTGACACACAAGGTCGGATATTTTACATACTATCTTAGGACCCTAGACTCGTCAAACCGGAAGACAATATCATGACCCGAGCCGATAGTGGTTTGTTTTACTGTAATATACTATTTGCGCAGCTGAGAAGCAGCTAATGCGAAGTAAAAAAAAATGTACCCTTTATACATTAGGTGCGTCCAATTTGCTTTTTTTATTTATCTTCATTAGGAACATTAAAACTCGAGATTATGAAAGCAAAAAATGTACAAGAAGGGCAAAATGTATCAAAGGGATAATCAAACTCATATGACTTGTGCTCGTAGACTATGAACATTCAATACAGTAAATACATAACAGATGCATACATATTAGATGCAATTTCCTTTCTATGCGTTAGCAATTTATCGTGAAAATTCGAGGCAACAGATTTTACTTCCACATTCCCACTGGAGGAAGAAGCGTTTTTATGCATCTTGCACAACCTATCGGACACCCTCTTTACCATGGCTTTCATTACCGGGTGCCAGAAGACCAGTTGACCATATTTGTGAACCGACGTTATCTCTTGTATTGCAGTCTAAAATGACATCCGGGAAATTGATTGAGGATCTGAAGCATTATGGGTAAGTTATTATATAAAGCCTACTTCCGAATTCATATATTGAATCGGGGTGATAAGTATCAATTGATAGATAATGACACATATAAGTGTATTATATATTTTAAGAATTTTTTACGTTAAAAATATTGTAATATCTAGAAAGAAAAATCAAAGTAATTATATAAATTACCAATGCAGCCCGAGTGGTACTGCCTCTAGTGATTGTAGGTTCAAAAAATAAGTTGTAACAGCCGTCTCCTCTTTTTCTGATGGCTTTAAGGTCGTGATTCAGCTTGATAGAATGCCTTCAATAATAATCATAGAATAAATTATTTGCGGGAAATGACAGATGAAAATGTAGAAAACAAACTACCGATTAAATTAATGTTCATTAATTTGTGTATTGGTACATAGACAAAAAGTCTTTTCTAGTCGAAACGCGTGCTGCGTAAATTTGTACTAATCCTGGTATCTATGATTACTTTTTTTATAAAAGAAATACTGCACCTTAAGGATATTTATTCGCTGCTCTGTTTCAAAATAACAAGCTTTTTAAAAGACATTTATTAATTGATAGTATATAAATAACGAAACAGAAAAACAAAAAAAAAATGAAAGTTCCATGTCCTTATTTTTGGAGATATATTCCATTGAAAATTTGTCAGGAAAAGACTCTTTCTAAATTTTATATACATTTAACATAAAAACCTTTTTTCTTTTAAAAACTATAAAAAAAACAAAACGAGGATTTCATAAGTTTTTCATAAATAACTTTTTAAAACTATATATGATAAAGTTATGAAAAGACAATAGGGGCTAAAGGGCAAAACTTTAAATGGTTACATGGATAAAACCAGAGGATTCCGAATATCTGACAAAAAGTCAAAAACAAGATCAGCGTACGTCCTTAAAAAATACATTTTGTTTGAAAGTACCACTGAAAGTTCCACAATTCTTTTTTTATGTAAAAGTAAGAAGATTTGGTATGATTCAGGATTTTCGGAAGGATAATGTAGCCATAATTCCCGAAAACTGAATACTTACAACCAAGCGGAGTGAAGAAAAAAAATTGTGGACGATTTTATGCAAAAAAATCATATAAATCGTTAAAAACATGGGATTTTAGTTTTTTGGGGGGTCAAAGGGGACTTACGCTCTCTACGCACCCCCTTAGATCCGCAATTGTTATTGCCAATGAAACAAGTATCCATTAGTGAACAGTGACAACATGACATGGATGTTAGTGCCTATTTGTGTCATCTTATCCTCTTATAGTTTCAATCCATTATAGAGTACTTATTGTCGTTGAAAGAAAGTTCGTCAGTTTTGGCTATATCTCAAGACTGACGTTATTTTCAAAATGTTTAAAATGGAAAGGGTACATTTTAGTTCTATGAGAAGAAACGGTTCTGTACAAAACATATCGACCAACTTTTAAGCAGTTTATGTGAATTGGCAAAATTCAAGCTCACCTTATACTAGCACGTAGAAATCGCTGAAGTAATGTTTTAGGTATAGTGGAAAATCCTGTTGCCACAGTTAAAATGTCTTCACTTGATGTAGTTGGCGGAGAGGTTTGAACTTCATGTGAGGCACTAAGCTCCGATCGTAATGAAGCAAAGCCGAAAGTTTCTCTGATGTAATGTTGTGCTTCGGCGCTTAAATATTTATGATACAAAGACTGGACACTGAAAAAATATTTAGACCTAAGTTCAGATCGAATACAGTATTTTGAATAGACATAACTGGTATATTTTTTGGCTATGTTTGAACATGTTCACTTATGAAAAGTTTAAAAACATTTTAACCAAGAAAAGTAAATTTCTATAGCTTGCTATGTTGTATGGGTTTTATTCACTGTTGAAATCCGTTCGTCGACCTACATTTGTTAACTTCTACGTCATTTGGTCTCTGGAGGAGAGTTGTCTCATCGGTAATCATACCATATTTTCTTATTTTTTTTTATCTAAACATTATCTGCCACTGTCATGACTGCATAGAATAGTACAGACAACCAAAACAATGTGATCTAAATTCTCAATTGTCTACTTGACATTAAGAAAATATTGTTTTCTATTTTGTAAGACAGTATATTAAAATCCGACGGTTCAATTAAGAGATTTTCAGCAAAATGATATATAACAGGCAATTTTAATTTTGAACCTCTTATGAACCAAACTCTTTAAAACATTGAACAAAGATCTCATCTTAAACATGAGAAAATGAAATGGATAGTTAAATTTAAAACAATAAAGAACCATGGAAATGCAATCAAATTTAAAACAAGACAGACAAACGTCTACTACTACTCCATTAAATATAGCATAAAACACAAAGGAACATCGAATTCAATAAAGAAAAATATGTGAATCAATATTAAAAGCTTGAGTTAATATATTAACGAGTTAACAGAAAATATGTTAAATGGCAACAATTATACAGTTTTCATTTTTTGTTTCATTTATGGTTTATCTTATCAGTCTAGTTGTCATTTCGTTTGACATGTTTAGGTTTTTTTCTGTATATAAGTGAAAACATATTTCGTAATCTTTTCGTCCAGTGGAAGTGAAGGTTTTGAAGTTAAAGTGCTGGTAATTACAAACTAGTCGTTACAGCGCTGACATTTTCTACACACTTGCGACATTCGAATTCTATCAGAGATCCAACATGTCTACGGTACCGATATCACATTATTACAAGGGCCTCGGTGGCCGATTGGTCTAAGTAGTTCAACTACTGTATCACTAGCCTTTCGACACTAAGGTTGTGAGTACGAATCTAAATTGACTAGGATTGTTAGTTTTCCTAACAAAGGTCGGTGGTTCTTTCCGGGCACTCCGGTGTCCTCCACTAATAAAAACTGGCCACCACATAATAGCCAATAGTGCTGAAATAGGCAATAAACACCAAACATTAATCAATCATAGTATTACTTATTACTGCCACTGATGAGTCTGATGTGAATTTCCTTATTGGAAAACAAAGTCTGTCAAGGGTTTTTGTCAGAAATTTTGGACGATGTCAGACTGTTATTCAAATAGAAATATTCATTAAGAAAATAGTGTTTTAAAAGAAATACTAAATTTTATTTATTTTGAAAAGTACATAATCTACTTTGAGATCGACATCTTCATTATTCAAATTTCATCCACATGACATACAAATGATTTCACATGGAATCATACTGTTTTCATGTCATTATACAATGTATGCCTAATTTTGTGGTTAAAAGATTAATATCGGTTTCAAGATCATCATAAGATATATCCTTTCTCTTCAAGACCTGTAACTTTTTTCATTTGAAATCAATTTTCATATAACATCATTCAATTATATTGTATAAAATACCTTTGTTTATACATGTGTACTCCACTTCTATCTTTGACGTAAAACTTTTTATAAGTTTCTGGAACATTTGTTGTTAGCACATCGGTGTTATTCCTAAATAACTCCCTTAAATGAACGATAAAACATTAAAAAAATTATTTTCATTTGTAACCGAATAGTGAATATTAATTTCAAATCAGACATCAGTTTGTCTTATAACGTGAGCTGAGTCAATTGGAATTCGACCTTACGCAAATAATTATCAATCCATCTGTTAACGTATTTCGGGTTGAAAAAATCTCTACGGAAAGTATGTAGCTGTAGGCAAATTGATTTGTAATAGGAACCCTACAAAACAGAACAACATTCATCTTTTATTTCGTATTTGAATGTTCTAAAATCAACCAAAGTCTTATACATGTACATGTGTACGTGCACTTGCATAAGGTCGATTTCTATCTGATGCAGCTCATATACTGTGAATTCATTATTGTTCGTTGTATATTAATTTTTATGGATTTCGTTGCTGAAAGTAAACCACGATTTAAAATGTTCAACAAAGTGCAAATTTCCTATATGTTTCAATGCAGACTTGGCAAAATCACGAAATAAAAGATCCACGAAAAAACAATTTTTCCTCAAACCTTAAAAAATTAATATTCACGAAAATAAATGAATCCACAGTTAGTCGTTTTACGTACCCCCATTCTCATGTAAATTAAGAAAAATATCCGTCGCGTGTAATTTACTGAATTATTTTAACTACTATCTTAAAATGTTAATAAATTAATAAAAAAAACAGCACTGTATTTTGTAATTCAAAGTTGTAAAACTCACACCAACCAAAGTGAGTTAGTTAGACTCATAATTAAGGTTTTTAATGTACATGTCTTTATTTATTTGTATATGCACTTGCTTGAATCGTGCCTTTGTTGTCCAGAGCCTATTCTCTGAATTTTTGCAAATTTTAAATTTCCTGTTGATTTTGTCCAATGATCTTGTATACTGATATCTACATTTTCACTTAGATCTTTCCTCTGGATGTTCTCCCAGATCTTTTAAGCTCCTAGATTTCTTCTTTCAAATTTCATCAAGAAAACTACCTGGATAATCTCCCAAACCTTTTACCGGGATTTATCCTCAGATTTTGTCCGCTGGATTTCCACGAAGATCTTGTTCCCCGTTTTTAACCTCACAGCTTTACCCTTCACTTCACAATTATTTTTCAAGTTCCTCATATCACAACGCCTTGTTTCTATCTTAACCTATTTCTTTTTACCTTTATGACTGCTCTTATATACAATGTCGTTGTGTAACTTTAGTAAGTTGAAATGTATTTATCTTATAAATCTTTAAAATTTAAATTATATGTTTTAAGTTGTTTTCGTTAATACTCCAGAATCAATATATTTTATAAGGTAAGCAGCGATATACTTACCATGTTAGTACATGCACTGGTCTGACATGACAGGGTCGACAAAAAAATCAATTTGTAAATGGTACAAAAGAAAATACCGGCCGAGAAATAAGCTTATGTCATTGCCTCGAACTCTTTAGACTCTTTTAAATCTTATTTGTTCTATTATATACCATGTTAGTTGATTAGTTGGTTTTCTCTCATTCGGTTGGAGTCTGTAGGGTGTTTTATTGCCACCTAATTCTTCAAACCGCAAATGGACTCCTCGTACATTGACAATGGTGTCAGGTGATGGTCCAGAGCCTAAATCGAATCTTTTGATCGGAAGCCCTAACTGTCGTATGGTTTGATGTAGTAAAGCATGGGCTGAAAAAAAATGACTAGTAGATAAAGAAAATTTTAAAAAATAATAATTTTTTTGGAAATGAGATAAATAACTTTTTTGGAAATGAGATAAAGACTGATTGCATAATAATAAAAACATGGCGTCATCACCATTAATTGCTTCAATATTTTTAACTATATTCTGTTTATAGTTTCACACACATCACATTACATAGACTTACCTCTACTGTGAAACCTCATAGCACCCAACTCCACATTTATATCCGGAATATCTGGGAACTGTACTGTATGCATTCTTCCTCCAACTCGGTTTGAATATTCGTAAATAGATATTCGTTTATGATGTTGTCTTAATCGCCACGAAGCATACGTACCGGCAATTCCTGCACCAATGATGGCTATGTCGTCACAATGTGCCTCTGAAATAGAAATATTAGATAGTATGACTAATAAATTGTATGCAATGGAATGGCTTGTTTGTAAACATTTTTTTATTCACACTTTTTCACATTAGCCAGAACTAAGAATTTAGAAAAAAAGGTTGTAGGACTTTTTTCTTATAAGGATCATTATATATAATGTCTAACGGGGGATATGAGCCGGTACATAGAGTTCTCTTGGTTCGATTTTTAGGCTAATTGTTTATTCTTGGCCTTAAAAAAGAAGTATGACATAATTCGGTTGTCAATGGGAATTTACTTTTATATGATACTAGTAATACATCTAAGTAATTTGTCAATTGACGAACGATACTGAAACTGAATCTACAATCTTGATTTACGAAAGGGTTATTTGAATACGCATCCATAATTTTTTTTGAAGTAGAGTAATGTTTATGATTTCTTCAAACGGTAAGCCAAAAAGTAAATAAAAAATAACATATTTAAGCCCGTGTTATTTAAAAAAAAATACAAACTCCGCTCTTGGCTGCATCCACCTGAAAACAATGATATACCCAAGACTGCTGAAAATGGCGTTAAACACAAACAATTAATCAGAAAGCTACATCATGAAACAAGTGTTGTGCGAACAAAAATAGTATATTAAACACTATTCATAATACTCACGTTCATTTGTTCCGTTAAATGTTCTTTCATCTATGTGCTGCTTTCTGCTGATATGACTGTTGTACGTTGACGCAACTGGTTGAAATGTCAGAACAGAAGTGATTAAATACTGCAGAACCATCAGAACAGATAATATTTTCCTTTGCTTGTGGCTCATATTGACTTTTAGTTTAAATGACGTTTTACAAATATCGGTAGACAAAACGTATGCATTAGTTTTCTTAGTGCGTTTTGCGTGTCAATTTCGTTAACAATATATTAATCAAATAATTACGTTGAAAGATTGACTTTTTCTTTATATACTTATTCATTTATGAATATTCACAAATCATCTTTTTGTATTACATAATTTTGGCGTAAGTGGTTGTACATGTTTAGAATAAGAACAACATTTTTTCAATAGATATATATGATATGAATTTACAAAACTGAGGAGGAACATACCAAGGGGAGATTCAAAACTCGTAAGTCAAATACAAACTGACAGCGCTAAAAAAGACGAAAATATGTACGAATTAAATACATAGAACACTAGAAAGCATAACAATTCAACCTGTTCTTCACAGAAACTTTGTGTTAAAATATTGCATCCACTTTTATTGTATGTTTGTCCCCTTAAAAACAAATATGTAACTACAAAATTATTATCACGACCATGGTAGACTGAGGTTATTCTCGGAAAAATAATTAAACATTTCTTGGAAAAAGGATATATCCTTAACATGTGTAAATATGCACCAGAGTTATTCGATTATAATAACTATATATAAACACAGATTAAGCTAATATTGGAACATTTGTAAACCATACTATAACTAGTAATACATTATTCCTCTGTTGGTATGATCCAAACTAAACAATGGAAGATATTATTTCACTTAATGCCATCTTGCTTGAAAATTTTTAACACCATTTTTCACACTATTTCAATATTTAAAGCACTAATATTGACCTTGCTTGAAATTTTCAAATGTGCATGTCTGGTTTGATTGAAAACAAAGGTTATGTGCGATTTCCATTTTGTGAGAATGAAATTGTCACTATAATCAACTATATCCATTTTTAAATGATACAAGTTTCCTTAATACGTGAAAAATATATATAGACCCACGTGTGAATCAGTACACTATATACTATACACGTTAGAACATAACGATATACGGTCTTTACAGTTCTGTTATGTAACTGTAAGACATTTGTTACAGACAATTGTTGATCACAATCAACATTTTAAGTATTTGGACCTAATCAAACATTAAAACAAACAGTCTAAGTGTCTTTATTTTATATAAACATACATTACAACGCTAGACACAAATATATATTCTTTGCTTTTTTTCATGTATTCCTTAACATTAGCGAGAATGAATGACTATAATGATGATAGAGATGAAGATTTCATTAAAATTTTTTATAAAACTCACAGTTCGTACATTATCAGAACATTTATAAGATTCAAATTAGTATAATGTCGATTATTCATTTTGGATGTATCTATTATTTAATTGGACGTGTTTAGATAGCGTGCCTTTTCTTTATGTTTACAATGTATCACAAACTTAAGATTACAATAAACCATTAGATATTATGGGCGGAGCCATTTACGAACATAACGTGGTATTCAGAATTAATAGTATGGCCAATCCTGATTGGTCGTGGTGTGCGTTCATAATTTTTATTATTAGCCATTTCGTAAACTCTACACCATACCAAAAGCAAAATAATATATTTTCCTTAGCCCTAAAGGACATGAGAAGTCTTTTCTACGCTGTGCCGAGACACGTTTTTTTAAGTGCAGAAATTGATAGACAAGGGAGATAGGCGAGATTGCGTTAAGAAAAGTAACGGAAGCCTATACTTTTTGGATTAATACTTTTTCTTTAATTCTAGCAAGGCTAAAAAAAATCAACTTACTAAAGTCTGTACCTGGAAAAAGACTAGTAATGTTGTCTTTGGAGAAATTGGACACTTGCAATACGAAGGGAGGCTATTATAAAAACCCGTCTATAGGAGACGTACGGCTTGGACTTACAATCATGATTCTGAGAAGCAAAAATATGTGTCTATTGATTAATAATTTCTATTTAATCTGAAATACATTTTTACAAAAGCTTCAAATTAGTTCAATAGCTACAGAAATCATTATAATGTGTCCAAATTGACTTGGAAATCTCAAGAAAGGAGATGTCAATAGAAATTAGAATGTACCACGATTACAGAGATATGTGAAATAAGATCACGTTATTCTCAATATGTATTTATGAATACTTAGCAAATAATGGATGTTTTCAAGTACAAAAGAGACAAAAGATACCAAAGGGACGTTCAAACTCATATAAGTCGACAACAAATTAACAATGACAAGGGAAAAAAAGGAAAACGACGAAAAGACAACCAACAGTACACAAAACACACCATAGAAAATTAGAGACTGAGCAACACGAATCCCACCAAGTACAGTGTGGAATAAAACAAAAACAATTGGATATGGTTTTAAATATTCCCTTTACTTTTCATTGGTTTCATTTTTTATATTGTAGCAGCTAACTTGATTAACACATGATTAATAAGATAAAAAAATCTTAAGACATACCATCATATTATTTTCAAAGTATGAAAAAAAAAGTAATAACAAAAATAAACCAAACTCCAAGGTAAATCAAGAAATATGTGGTCCATAAAATCTGACAAAATCAATCGCTCGCCTATATCAACCAACGAATTGAAATTGAAATTGAAATGCACACAACTGTCATATTCCTGACTTAGTACAGGCATTTACTGAATAACGCGGTGCTTAAAACATGGTTTTATAGCTAGGTAAACCTCCATGCATGATGTTATAGAGAAAGTCCAAATAACTGTCCATTCCTGGGAAATAATGGAGCGGAGACCCGTAGGGCCGACGCCCATTATTTCCCAGGAATGGACAGTTATTTGGATTTTCGCTAATTTAAAATACACCTTAAATATTAAGAAAGAATCTTTATATTATAACATTCTAAAGAATTGTATTTCATTTTGTAATGGTTTTCTTTTCAATTCCCCATGGTGTACCTAATAATCCACAGGCAAAATTTAAGATCAATAAAATTGAGAATGGAAATGGGGAATGTGTCAAAGAGACAACAACCCAACCAAAGATCAGACAACAGCCGAAGGCCACCAATGGGTCTGCAATGCAGCGAGAAACTTCCGCACCCGGAGGCGTCCTTCAGCTGGCCCCTAAACAAATATGTATACTAGTTCAGTGATAATGGACGCCATACTAAACTCCAAATTATACACAAGAAACTAAAATTCAAAATGATACAAGACTAACAAAGGCCAGAGGCTCCTGACTTGGGACAGGCGCAAAAATGCGGCGGGGTTAAACATGTTTTTTGAGATCTCAACCCTCCACCTATACCTCTAGCCAATGTAGAAAAAACAAACGTACAACAGTACGCACAGTAAAACTCAGTTCAAGAGCTGACCATCTACTCACTTAATGAAGTATTTATGAACAGTAGAATAATTACTATAAAAAGATCTTGAATAAAGTTCATCCAGATTTATGTTTTAAAGTCATTGGATACGCATGTCTTTCTTGTAGTGGGGTTGAAAGGATATTTATTTGTGTCTTTAAGTGGTATTTCGGGAGAGAGGAAAAAAACTAATATTTATGCATATATGTTAATGGATTATGTGTGTTGTTCGTTTGATAAATCTTGGATGTAGAATCGTCCGAGAAAAATGACATGGTACCACTAGAATAAATTTCCAAGTATGTAACACTCTAGTATGTTAGTACCTAGTAACCTAGTATAGGTTATTTAACGAATCAGGGTGTGCTCGATTTGAAGTCATATCTAAAACGAAATATGATTCTATATTTCAAACCCCCCAAGGGTGACTGGGGAATAGAAGTATGGTCACCATTGGTCTTCCTCCGACCGGCAGTAAAACCCGTGCTAAAGTGGGGCGTCCGTTTGGCTGTGCAGGATGTACAAATTTGCATCCACGTCCGGTCAGAATGGGGACGTAAAATCCGATGCCTCGTGTAAAGAGAGTGCCACGCTCTTTGCACGTTAAGAACCCTTGCAACAACTCTTTGAGGGGTCCGTAGGTGACCTATTGCAAGGCTAAATTTCTGTCCCTATCCAATATACCCTCATTTCCCGTGGCAGTCTAAATTTCTCCGACCTTAATCCCTTAATCTATTACAGAACCTACCTATTGTATTTATTGTGAACTTGTTCTCGTCCTGAATATGCATGAAATATTTGCCACTGGACGTTAAGCAACCAACAATCAATCAATCAATATATTTCAAACCATTATATTAGATCAAATAAAATTAAACCAGAAACACAGTGTTTCATGTTTCATGCATAATCTAACCTTTTTTTGCTCCTTTTGCTCATAACAACGAATTGAAAGGGATTTAAATAGCAATACAAGCAAACTGAATTTTTTTTTCATTCTTCCCTATTATCAGAAAGGAGGCAAGTTCAAAGAAAAAAAACCGGGTGATTAGAAATATTTCTAGATTGCGTTTTGTATGGCTTTTAACTTAAGTGGAAAACTACTTTTTGATTTCATTTAAGCATTTCAAGATATACGCCGTCATTTGCACTGACGATATATATCTGTTATAAATGCCACTGTACACATAATAACAGTGAAAGAATTCGATTGTGTTACGCGTTTCTGTTGAGCATTGAATAAAAATCCCGCCCAATATTTAACACAAGCTTTATTCAAATGTTATCCACACCCCTCAAATTCTATTCATTAGTACCATATTCAAATTATAACAACGAAAAATCAAATAATATACCGAATACGCCATTTTGACCATTTCAGTTTCTTGAAATATTTATTCTATTTAACCACAATATTATTGTAGAAACTATCGGAGTAATATTTCTTTTTTAATGTACATATTAAAATGGAACAAACAATTTTTGCTGTACAAAATCAAAATACAACACTTCAAATTTTCAAGCAAATGATATCTTAAACGGTAAAATTGAAAGCAAATCTGTAAGTGAAATACATTTTTCTCAAATTTTACTTATTGAATAATGTTAATATATTCAATATTACAAAAGAATCTAACTGAGTTAACACATTTGATATTTTGTAGATACACAGAAGAGGAATGGCACTCAATGGAAAATATGAGTTTTGCCCGCTTGGATACAATCCGTGACAGAAATTTAGCCAAGATTTGCATCGGAAAACAAATTACGGATAATGTTGTGGAATTTTATTGAAAATGATACTA